TCTAGAAGCCCATTCATTAAAACAAAATGGCCGCCAGTCGGCCATTTTGAATGTTATCTAAAAAACAAAATTATTTGCATCAAGGTCGCATAATGTCTAATGTATATATCAAGTTTGAACAAAATCCATCTGTAAACAGCCGAGAAATGCTTGATTTTTATGATTTTTTTAGCACAAAAATGGCCGCCATTCGGCCATCTTGAATCAGATTGTAAAACAAAATGATGTTCATGAAGGTCCTATAATGTCCAACGTGTATACAAGGTTTGAACAAAATCTATCTGTACACAGCCGGGAAATGCTTGATTTTGATGATTTTTAGTACAAAAATGGCCGCCATTCGGACATCTTGAATCAGATCGTGAAACAAATTGACGTGCATATGTATGATCATATGTATGATATCATGTATGATGTATGTGTGAAGTTTGATTGTGATTGGTCCAGGCATTTCTAAGATACAGGTCCGGATGCACGCACAGACGCACGCACGGACACACAGATGTCAAAACATAAGTCCCCGTTTTCGAACTTCGTCCGAACGGGGACTAATAAAAAACGTAAAGTTGTAGACATGGGCAAGGTGTAAAATTCAATCAGCTATTCTATTTGACTGTAATTTGTACAATAATCTTATTTTTTGTAAGCGTATAAAGTAATTACCACATTAAATGTCAGAGACGGCGACACAAAGTTTTGCATGGGGAGATTTGATTTCAAATAAAACCATGTTCTTTCACTTAAAAGAATATGAGTACTGTCTATAGAAAAAAAATAGATTTAAAGGAAAGCTGTGTCTCACTTTTTTTTTATTTTTCTGTCAATCAGTTAAGGCATTGCTGACTTATGTTAATTGGAATTCTTTTAATCAGTGGAGGTCAGAAAGGTTTAAATTAACATAATCATATTGTGTTCAAATGGCAATAAAAATAATAGAATCATTGAAAAAAATTTATTTGGAAAAGTATGTGTACACTTGTTGAATGATATCATCAATTATGCAAATTAAATGCTTACAAACAAGTTTTTTTTTTATTTCTTCTTACATAAAATGTTGGTATTAAAATGGACTACATGTAAGATAACTT